TTTTCCACCATCTGTATGAAACCTCTGAGAGGTAATTAGTGTTCTCAATGTTAGTACAATTCTCTGGGCTCTGATGGGTCCTTGGAGAGGCTTGTTCCTGCTCTCCTGATGTTAAGGCTTTTGTTTTGATCTTTTTGGATTTAATGTGGTAGTCTTAAGGGCTGACCAGAAAGTAAAGCAAGTTGGCATCTGAAAGTTCTATCAGGTGACTGAATATGTGACAACACTCTTTTCCCCAGAGCCTAAAAGAAAAGGATCTGTCACAGCAGCTGGTCTCAACTGACACTATCTCACTGTCAGGCCACTCTGAGGGGGAAAAAGTGGTCAGTTTCTGTTGGTAAGCTCTCACTTCCTCACTGGCCTATTTTTTAGATAAAGGACACTACTTTGTATGCTGAATAGTGTTTAATTTAAAAAAAGGCGAGGGCTGGGCAACTCTCTCAGAACCACTTGACCTGTCCCAGGGAATTCTTTTGAGAAATACAAAAGTCTCCCCGATAGTTGTTCAAATTATCCTGATAATTACGATTTTATTTTATTTTTTAACTTTATGATGGTATGAAAGTGATAGGAACTCAGTAGAAGCCATTTTTGGAATTTTCAGTGTGGATCTGTTGCTCCAGGGCGGGGACCCCAGGTAGGTAGCTCTTCTCAGAGCCTGGGCCAGGACCTCCAGTACAGCTGCCAGTCAGCTGGGAGCAGCCCAGTCACCCAGACTGCGCACTGTTGCTAAAATGGGACGTTTGATGGGTTGGGGTGATAAACGCTTCTTCCATTTACACTATTTTCAATTCACGATAGTTTAATCCCACAGGACCCAATCATAAGTTGGGGAACTGCTATAGTATGAAAGATTTTTTTTTCTGGTTGCTATTATTATTATTGCTTTTGGGGAGTGGGGTGGGCTATGGGATGAAGTGGAAGGAGGCAGTAAGGGTTGGGCTATGGAAGAAATGTGAACTTTTAAACTGTTATGCAAATTATTTCATTCACAATATATTAACTGAATAATTGCATCAAGTTCAATTTTAAAGACTCTTGTAACAGAAAATCTAACCACATGGTAAATAAAAGTTTAGAAAAATGCTCAAAATGTTTACAACTCTATTTAAACCCTATAATACTTCATTGAAATTTAAAATGCTGACAACAAAGTTACTTATTAAATATTATTCTCACTGTAGAAATACCATTTAATGTGCATAGGTCAGAAGAGTGAAGGATCACTAACATCTGGTTGATCTGTTGTTCTAGAAAGGCCAGAGCTTGACAAAGATCACAATGTAGAAGATCCTGCTTGTTTTCCCAGGCAAGGCTTGTTTATTTAGCTGATGTTTGTTGAGTCCACTAAAGTATAAAATGGTCAAGGGAAATTACCCAAGAGTCATAGATGTGAAAATTAAATTACAATACCACTCTCTGAAGTATTCAGGCCCAAACTGGGGGTATCATCTTTGCCGCTTTTCTTTGTCTGATAGCACTTCATGTTAACAAATCCTTTGGTTCTCCCATTAAAATGCAATCTAGAATATTACTGACTCCTTTGCATCACTGCAACTTTTAACCATCCTAGTAAGACTACCTACCAACTCTTCCATGGATTATTGCAAAAGCCTCTTGACTTTAGGTTATTAACAATAGAAGGTAACAAATGGCAGGTGAAAAATGGTGACAGTAACCCTACATTCTTTACTTCCAGGGGTAGGTTCAGTCTTAATTACTGTCAAGAATTTTTTATTGCAAAACCAGGAACCCACTTAAAGTAATTTACAAAAAAAAAAAAAAAAAAAGAAAGAAAGAAAGAAAGAAAATATATCCAGATCACATATGGAACTGTTGAGTCAGGAATGGAGATGCTATTTTCCATTTCCCTGGAGTCATTCCCTGGTGGTCACTGCTATTTGTTCTCCGTGCATATGCTCCATCCTTCCATGTTCCATCTAAGATTGGGTACTCTTAGCTTGTGTACGTGAAGCAAAACCTACCCCTGACTCTACATGACTTCCTCCTAGTTGAGTTCAATTAGCAACCTTATAATTCAATTCCAAATACCCAGAAGAAGATGATCTCTGGGCTTTGTTTATTTCAGATGCCTGCCTCTCATGCTATAATTTGGAACCAGAATATAGCATCACCTGATTAAAACACAGTTGCCCAGGTGCATCAGTCCAGCAGGGTCTAAGGGAACAAAGCCTAGGATTTTTCCATTACACCACAATGCCTCTTGGCAAGAAGATATCATTTCTTCAAAGAGTTTTATAATCCAATGATGACAAGTTCCTCAACAGATGTATTTTAAACATAGGTGGAAAGGCAGATCATAAAATTCTGAGGAGATATGATCTCCCTGTTTTGCAGTTTTCCCATGGAGTATTTGTACTTTTTTTTTTTTAAGAGAGAGAGAGAGAGAGAAAGAGAGAGAGAGAGAGAGAGAGAGAGAGAGAGAGAGAGAGAGAATTTTTTAATATTTATTTTTTTTTTAGTTTTCGGTGGACACAACATCTTTATTTTTTATTTTTTTATGTAGTGCTGAGGATCAAACCCAGCGCCCCACACATGCCAGGTGAGCGCGCTACCGCTTGAGCCACATCCCCAGCCCCAGTATTTGTACTTTTTTAAAAAAAAGTTCACCAGGTCATTTTGATGCTTCCTTCCCCTGTTGCCTTCCAATAGCAATTCTCTCTCCTGTTTTCCTGATCAACTCCTGCTTTTCTACCATAGGCTGTGTGTTCCCTTTGGAAACCTTCTCTGGCCAGCTAAATGGCCCTCTTCAGTCTTCCTGTCTGTAACTCCACTGCTTCACTAATCACGTTGTTTTAAAATTACTTATTTATGTCCCCTTGAGATTGTGGTGAGCCTGTTGTTAAGAGTTAGTATTGCATTTTTTATTTGTTTGTTGTACTTTAGAACCTAGCACAATGAGTCAAACTGGACAATATATGTTTAAGGAACAAGGAACTAAATTGATACACCAAAAGTTCAGAGCCACTTGGAAAGTTTTTGAAAGTCTTCACATTTGATTTATTGTTCTTTTCCCCCCGGGTGAATTAACTGCCTACTTCAATAAATATTAAATACAAAACAAAAAAAATTACAGGTTCCAAGCGGAAGGCGTGAGCCTTGGGATGTGGAAGCTTCCCCTGGAACTACATTTCCCGAAGTCCGTAAGCCCCAGTCCTGATTGGTTTGCTGACTGTTCTTGAGGCCGGTCACATCTGCCAATACTTGAGACGAGATTGTCCTCAACCGGCAGGAGGCGGCCAATCACAGGGAGAGGGCGGCTGCTTCTGATTTTGGTTTGGAACAAACCCTAGAATAGTTCTTCGGTAGCATTTTGCGGAGCGTAGGGGAGGTGAGGAGTATTTAGCCCGGAGATTATCTTCCGCATCTCCACCATCCGAATCAGAACTCGTCTTTAATATTTCCCTCCTTCTTAATTTGTTGTCCACACCCCTCCTAATCCAGCACCTCTGCGTCCCAGCCACCTTTTCCTTGTTGAACGCACTTTGGGGGAAAATCTCTCCCCATCCCCCGCAAGAATCTCTCTTCACCTGTGCAAACTTGCGCCGGATATGTGTTTCTAAGCACCCAAGGGAGACTGGGGTCAAAAAGTCCATCTCCCTCTTGTGACCCGACCCTTCTGAAGAGCGAAGACTCAGATCGGATTGCAGGGCGGACCGAGGGTTCTGAACCTGAGTGGCAGCGTGGCGTTCACTGCTATGGGCGCTCCCGCCCCCATCCCCACACCCCCGGGTCCCCACGACTGAATCGGGGTGGTGTGTCACAGCGTGGCTAGAGCCCTTCCTCTTCGGCAGTCTATTCTGTCTAGCAATGACCTACTACTGCCAGAATCATTTTATCCACTCTAACAGCTTCGGGGAAGAGCCTGGGTTTCCGAACCCAACGGGTGTCTCTCCTTTCCTAGGACATTTCTAAGTCTGTCATTGCTTTGCCCCTGACATAATCGTTGCCTAGACGCCCCTTTTTAAAGAAACTCCAATCCAAGTCAATCCAGAACAAAGTCCACAATAAGGCAACAACAATAAAGAGTGCAGCCAGCCGCCGGGGGCGGGCACCCCGGGAAAGGGGGAAAGCACAACCCCCGGCTTCAGGACCGAATTTGAAGCCAAGGCTTCCTGCTGGTTTTTGGTCCTCAACGTTATTACTATGCCGGCTGCAGAAGAAGCAGCTGCATACTCTGGCAACACGACCGGGGAGGGAGAAATTCAACCAGCGTCTGGGATTTTCGCAGAGGATAATTTAAGCCCCAGTTTCTTGCCGCTGGGGGCCGGGGCACCAGCCGCGGGTGGGGAGCAGGCTGCGGCGCGCATGCGCACACCCCACAGCCCTGCTCCGCGGAGGCCCAGCTGCCGCCACCGTCGCGGCGGGCGCTGTAACTGCGGCTGCCGCCGCTGCTCGGGCGGGCGTTGGTGCCTTGTGCCGAGGCGTCCAGTCAGGCCAGAGGGAGCGGCCGGGCGGGAAGAGCCGGCGGCGTTGGCGGCGGCGCCAGAGGAAGGCAGCCGGGCTCCTGAGGTGCGAGGGCGGGCCGGTCCGGCGGCGGTGGAGCGCGGCAGCCGCCCCGGGCGCCGTGCGTGCGATGCTGGGCGGGCTGCGGCGCTGAGCGGCGGGAGGCCGAGCGGCTTTTGCGGACCGCGGAAGAGCAGCAGGAGGACGCGCCGAGGGACCGGGGTCCGGGGCGGGCGAGGATCCGCGGGGTCGCGGGCCATGGACGTGGCGGCGGCGACGCGAGCGAGCCTGGGCGGCGGCGCGGCGCAGAGCCCGCCCGCGGCCAGGTGAGGCTGGGCTGAGCGGGCTCGGGCGCCCGACCTCCGCTGCTGCCGCCGGGCCGCGGAGCGAGGCGGCAGCAGCGGCGCCACATCAGCCGCGGCGGCCTCGGAGGAAGAGGGGTCGCTACCCGGTGTTGTTGTGACCGCCGCTCGCTCGTCGCCGCAGTATTTCCTGTTCGGATTATCTTTTGCTTCCCCCAGCTGCCTCCTCCTCCTCCTCCTCCGCTCACCCACTCCTCCGGGTCCTGGGTCGCTGCTGCCCTTGGCTTTGGCCCGTCACCCCCGCCCGGGGACCCCTGGTGCCTCCGCTCCTGGGCTGCGGGGGAGCCCAGCAGAGACCATGAGGAAATTCAAGAAGGTGCTGGACGGCCTGACCGCCGGCTCCTCCTCGGCCTCGCAGCAGCAGCAACAGCAGCAGCACCCGCCAGGGAACCGGGAGCCTGAGATCCAGGAAACGCTCCAGTCCGAGCACTTTCAGCTCTGTAAGGTGAGCAGAGCGCGCAACCCTGCTACGCCGTCATCGGAAAACTGGGGTCGTTTTAGGGGGCGATTCGGGATTTACACAGTAGTGCAAGAGAAACGAGCGCCAATAATAATTGTAGTTCTCATAAAGAGCTCGTTTCTCCCCTAGCAAACATTTCCTTGGTAGGTTATTTTGAAGACTGATATCCTACTTTCCCTTGGTGTTTTTCTTTTCTAACAAGAAGCAATAATCATTTCAAGGCTCTTCAAACATATGATCTTCCCTTTAATTCATATCCTGACACTGCTAGCAATAATCTGGAAGCTTTTATATTATAACATTTTAATGAAATTCATCAATTTCCGGATTTCCTTTAAAAACAGTGTCTATCTAGTGAATATTGTTTATCAGAAAGTCAAACCTGTTCAACCAGGTCTTTGCTCATCACTTTTTTCTTACAACGTGTCTCAGTGGCCTACTGTATGAAATCGCATGGTTCTTTATCATTATGTTAGGTTTAAAAGTTAGTACTGAGATTTTTGCCTGCTAATGGCAAGATAATTGCTATAGCGTTTTGTAATTCAGAAAGAATGATGCAGCGAATTAATTCACCAGCTGTTCAGTGAGAAATACAAACGTGGTGTTTTGTTATTAATGTCAGCCTTCCTCATAAATATCCATGTGTTCATACGTCAGAGTTTCTTAAAAGTCTGTATATACATAACTTTTTGCCTTAATACTCTAAAATTATTATGGACTTGATAGTAAATTGCAAAAACATTTGTTGTATTCATATCCATTCTGTTACAATTGCAAAATGTTTGGTATGGCTTGATAATTGCTTTTACCCAATACCTTGACCAAAATAATGAATTATATGACAACTTTTCCTTGAAGTACTTGCATTTAGCATTCAAGTAATGTTAAATGATGAGACAATTATTCTTGAAACAAAGCATGAGTCGCATTTTAAAATCAATTAACAGAATTTTTGACTACTGAAAACGTTAGTAATTTGGTGTCAGACATAGTAGTATAGAACATTAATAGGAAATTTTTTTTCTGTAGAATGCCAGTAGTATGGAAAAGCAAAAACTGAAGTATTACTCTGCAATAGATTTTTGTTTATTTCAGGTTCTGTGTTAATAACTAACATAGAGTTCACTTTTTTTTTTTTTTTAAAGTAGCACCTATGTGTGTATGTTTTGCATCAGGTATACTTCTAAATTCTAATGCCTGTATTGACATTTCTATTTTTAAATATCCTTTGCTACCTTGGTTGCTGTGATGACACTTGCCCAACCCTAGACTGTTCGCCATGGATTTCCCTATCAACCTTCAGCCCTGGCCTTTGATCCTGTACAGAAGATCCTGGCAGTGGGAACTCAGACTGGTGCTTTAAGGCTGTATCCTTTGTCTAATTTTTTTTTTTAATGGTTGCTTTGTGTTCAGCAGTCCTTTTGTGTTGCTAATTAGTTCCAAAACTTAAAAAATTTTCCTGGGTAATTCCAAAGACATAGTGTAATTGGGCATATATTTTGAGGAATTATGTGGTGTCGGCTTTTCCCTTAGGGGAAAATATATAAATATATTTATGTGTGTATATACATATGTATATGTATACATATGTGTATATACTCATTCAGATTGTATGGTGATGAGGCAGTTCTCAGCTGTAAAACATGTATTGGAATAGAGGTCTAAAGATTTTTTGTAATAACTATTTTCTTTGCAAGGAGCTAGAAATTTCTAAGGGGAAATATATTTGTTAATGCCTAGTAGTCTACTGAGTGGAGTTTGTTAAGGATGAGATTTAAAGACAATAGTATGGTGCTCATTTTATTTGATATTAAAAAATATACATGGTAAAGTTTGAAATTTTTGTTACTATTTATATGTATATTATGTAAATTTATTGTTCTATTGGATTAGAGGTTGGATTTGAATTTGTTTCTCATATGTCCTCTAGAAAATCATTAACAGAAGACAAATGTAGCAAATTAGTTTTCTATAAAAAATTATGAAGGGTTAATATTTCTAGAAGTTTTACAGCATTTTCTTGTAAAATACATAGGAATTGTACTCTCTTGATGATGTTTTCCCTTTTATAGTCTTCATTTGTTTTAAAAGCTGTTGGGATAAGAGTACATTAACATGTTGAATAAAATAATTATTTTTCCTGGATATGATATAGTAATTTTGTGATAAGCAGTTTTTCAAATACTTCAAAAGATTTTTTCAAGATCACTTTTTTAGTCTGAACAATAGAAACTTTCTTACTTCCTCTTTTATACTGTTTAACTTTAAATATAATCTGTGTTTGCTTTTAATATGGCATTTAACCATACTCAACCTAAATATTCTTATTTTTAAACTAAAACATAACATTTTAAAAAGAAGAAGCTTTGTTTATTCATCTGTAGGATATCTGCTTCCTATATATTACTGAGGTAGTATGTTGTAATAGAAAAAAAAATCACAAGACATTACTGTTGTCAAAAAAAAAAAAAAAAAAGAAATGGGGCTATGGGAAGAATTTTACCTAATTACATTTCAGCTTTTTCAGAATTTGAGTTAAACAAATAGACTTATAATCTTTTAAAATATTTGAAAGAGGTACTGCATAGTGTCAGGATATGCCTCAAGTTTCATTTCTGATTTAGTATAGGATTTTCATAATGCTAATAAAAAATTTCAGATGGGTTTTTGAATTGTGCTACTAAGTGAAGTCCACAACACATAGTAAATACTAGTAGCACAATCATATATATATTTTAAATGGTAAAATCTGACCAGGCCCCATCTGAAATCCGTGAATATCTAGGACAGTATTATCTAAACTACTTTTGCCCAGATGTCTGAATAGTTGAGGCTAGAGTATTTGTTGACTTAAATTGTTTAGATATTTTTATTTCTGAATCCAATTATTAAGATTTTCTAATTTAGGATTTCTGTTTTAGTCTTGTGGAGATGGGAATAGTTAATTTTGTCAGCTTTCAATGAAACTCTGTAGTGTCAAGTCTAGGTAATTGTTCCAGAAGGACTTTTTGGAACTGAAAGCAGATTTTCCCTTTCCAACAAAAGAATTTCATTACTCAACTAAAATTAAAGCTAAATTAAATCTTTTATTTTGGGATTATTTTGTTTTTATTTTAAGTGAATTCAGTTTTTACTGTTTTCTGAGTGTGGTCTCAACAATTGCATAGCATATAATTTTTGTTCTTGTAATAGCCAATCTGGCTCTTTATAATTTAATTATAAGTTCAACAAACAAGGCTATTTTTACAAAACCAAGTATTTGTCTTAGCCAATATGTTTAACTCTAATACATCTGAATAATTAAAAAGTGGACACAAAGGTATAGTTAAAATGTTGGGCCTAGTGCTGATTGCCAGTTAAAAAGCAAGAATCGGGTGTCTAAAATTATCACTTGTATATGTCCTTTGGTGTCCATAATTTTTAAATATTATATGAGTAAAAGTGAGCCTGCAATTATAGTTTATAATTATACTCTAATTTGTTTCTTAGAACCCTTACTATATTTAGAATGAAGTCTAGAAAACTCTTCATCAAACCTGTCTCTGCTTTTCTTTTCTTTTCCTTTCTGTCTTTTCTTTACTTTTTTTTTTTTTTAATGAGATTTGTATAAACATCCCAGAGTGATAAATTGGCTTGTCTACCAGCAATACCACATACTCATTCCTTCTGTTCAGTTTAAGTAACTAATGAGCTTATATAGAAAATGATTTTTTTCTTTTTTGTCTCATTTTCTACATATGTGTTTTAAGATATGTTATTTTGTTTTGTTTTGTTTTTATTTTTGAAACTAGATACCTAAATTTATACATTCTAATTTTGAAGCTCCATATAGGTTTAGCTTGCATATTTAAGTTCATTTATTGATATTGCCTTTGTATTTTTCCTATTGCAAATGATTTCTTTTGATATTTGTCTCCATTTTATTCTCATATTAGACTTTTGTAACAAGTCTAAAATGTACTTGCCCTAAAAAGTGTCTTAAGAAGAGAAATTCACTTATAAATAAAGTATTTTCCTAAACTTCACAGTAAAAAAGCATGAGATGTTTTTTGAAGTAGAACTGGAGATTAGAAGTCTAATTTGACTGATAGTATATTTTCCTAAATGTTGGAGGACTTACTAAGCTGATCTGCCTACTTTGATTTCAAAACAAAATAATAATAATAAAAAACCCAAACAAGTAGATGAAAAAGTTACCTCTAATTTTATAGCTAGGATTAGTGAAAATTTGAGTCCTCGGAGAATATCTTACCAGTGATGATGCAAAATGATTTGGTGTATTTACTGAGTTAATGTATAGCAGATGACTGATATTATAAAAATGCTTAATGCTCAACCTTCTTGGCTTCTGGAAAGATTATGAGATTACAGTGTATTTATTGATGAGATGGAGAAAAGCATAATTTTATAAATTTTGTATATAAAGTAATATGATAATGATGCTATTTAATTCTCTTAATTCTTTTTGCTATGAAGAAATACAGACAATTTTATTTTTTTGAGTAATCTAGGAATCAGAACTTGGGATAAAATAACTATTTTGCATATGGATAAGTAAAAGGAAAAATGGGTTATAATTGAAAAATGAAGGTATTTTAATGATATTGCCATTGTCTTCATCCAGTCTTTTGGTTTACTAGTATATTTTCATAACCCTAATAGAATCATGAGCCTCCCTGATTTTATTTTTAGGATAAATTTCATCTAAAAACAATGAGGGCATTCTATATGTTAAAATTTTAGGGACCAAGCTGGGTGTGGTGGTGCATGCCTGTAATCCCTGGGAAGGCTGAGGCAGGAAGATCCCAAGTTCAAAGCCAGACTCAGTACAAAGCAAGGCACTAAGCAGCTCAATAAGACCCTGTCTCTAAATAAAATACAAAAAGTAGTGCTGGGAATGTATTCAGTGGCTGAGAGCTCCTGAGTTCAATCCCTGGTACCATTAAAAATAAAAAAAAAAAATAAAAAAGAAATTTAGAGACCAAGCAGAAAAATGGAATTTTAGATTGATTAAATTTGTGTAAAATTTGAGATTTAAAAAAATTATCAAAACTATTATCAAAGAACCTCCTTTATCTTTTTGATATGTGGAAAATACAGTGTAATAGGCAGTCTTTACTTTGAGGAGGCTTGATTCTCTTTTCAATTGCAGTGAAATGTTGCTGGATACATGTTTGCAAAGTGATTTTTTTTTTAATCTTAGAGTTCTGTTTAACAAGCATTTATTTATTAATTGTCAAACAACATTAGTTTACAAATTGTGGCCTGAATTCTGGTTCTTTTCACTAGGAAATCTTGTGTCCTTGAATAATTTTTTTCTTACTATAAAAATGAACTTGCTATATTTGATGATTTATTAAAAAATTCTGATTTCAACTAACTATATATTGTTCTGGGGGAGTAATGCAAAAGAAATGAAGGTGTGAGCCTTACCCTCAAGAGATTTCCCGTCTTAACCAGGGGAGAATTATCTAGGGGCTTACTGACATTACACAAATGTAGATTACTAGAATTTGTTGCATTTGATTAACATTTTTGCATGTTATTAAGGATTCAGAATGGCAGGGAATAAGCAGTAGGAGAATTATTTTCGGCAGGCAAACCGTTGGAAAAGAGAATCATCATAGTAGTTTGAAGGATTAAAAAAAACTGTTTGAAATAATGATCCTAATTAGGTTGGAGGAGAAATAAGCCAGTTGTCAAGGACCTTGAATGTTAACTTAAGGTATCTGCATGCTATTCAGTTAGGAATTGTAGTTATGTAAGGTGATTTAATAGGAAGAAAGATTTTTTTTTCATAATTAATGGGGCAGTTGTGTCATAGATGAAAAGAATAGAACAAGTAAAATCTCATAGGTAACTAACTATTAATTTTATATGTAATAAAAAGGACCCAGAACAAATGTGGAAGAATGGGAATTGGAGGACTTAATGACTCCTTGGTATAAAATCTTAGGGAGTGACTAAGGATAAGATTTTGCACATAAAGCATCAAAGCTGTTATAAAACACAAATGGAAAACTTGGCAAAGAGGTGGCAGAGAAATGTTGTTTGAGATTATGTCATCTTTTGCTTTTGTTGCAATGCCATTTTGAAAAGGCAGCCTAGACTTCTTATTTTAGACAAGAATTTGATAATACTTTTATGATTGATTTCATTTTGGGCTTGTCCTTGGCAATTTCCTGAATTTCGTTATTAAATTTATGTTAAAGTTACTATTAGCTTTTTGGCTTTGGCAATTAATTCTCTGTCAGTGTTTCTCAGTAGTAGTAGCATTTTGGGCAGTTTAATTCTGTGGAGTTTGTCCAGTATGTTACAGGATATTTAGTATTCCTGGCTCCCACCTACTATATGTCCCCGTTGCCTT